TGCATTCCCACCAACAGTGTAGGAGGGTTCCCCTTTCTCCGCATCCCCGCCAACATCTGTCGTTTCCTGACTTGTAAATTCTAGCCATTCTGATTGGTGTGAGGTGGTATCTCACTGAGGTTTTGATTTGGATTTCCCTGATGCTGAGCGATATTGAGCACTTTTTCATGTGTCGGGTGATGCTTTCTTAATGCTAATCACTCACCTGCATTGGCTTTCAGGTCTTCAGGTGTTACCATAACAACAAATCGGATTGCACGTTCATTTCGAAACATCTCGTAAGACCATCGACGGATAGACCGCATGCATTTCACTGCTGCAATGCCATTGTTGGCGATAAGCACCTGGGAGAGTGGCGGGACGGGAATTGGAGAGAAAAGTACAAAAGGCAGGCAATGATCAAGGAAAAGGCAGATCTCTGTTTTTCTCTGAAAAGCCAGATTTGCAATTAGGAATTTGTGTTGCTATGTCTAGGCAGTTAGGAACCAGCTCCCACATAATCAAGGGATATTTTAAAATGTTAGCTAGGCAAATACTTTAATATGTGCCAGCTAAAAGTTACTGCTTTCTATCTTCATTTCTTCAAGGGGAAAATCACAATTTTTCAAATCTTGTGAGTTGGTAAATTATTCTACCATACCTGTTACTAGGCAAACAGAAGACAAACTTCAGAGGAATGATGTATTATTAAGGAATGGGGGACGACTAAACAGTGTAATGTCACGCACTATTCCCTGTTGTATTAAACAAGGTGCAGAGTCCTGAACAGGCGTTAAGAATGCTGCCACCAACCACTCTCTCTCTCCAAAATGCTGAACCCTAAATGCCTTAGAACTGTAGAGACTGCCTTACAAAGAATGGTCACAAGAAAAAGCGTGGAAGAACCAATGATCCTGAAACGTCTCTGTAAACAAATCTCTCCTGACCTATCTTGCAATCATGGCCCCAGGATAACAGAGGCTAGGAGATACACAATCTGATTATCAGATTGGACACCACTGGAGCAATACTCCTAAAGTGGGAGTATAGGTCCCCACGCTTTATTCTCTTAATCACTGCGAGCTCTTTCAGCCAAGTCGTTCTTTCAGCTCGGACATGGTTTAGATAAAAGGGGCACAGAACTACTCCTAACATTTCAAAATATTTGTAATCTCTTTAGGTACTTCATACGTTGTAGTCCCTCCAAACACCTCAAATATCTGCTGGAAGCCATTAAATTGCAGTGCATCAAACTATTCAGGCCTTCTGTTCTGAAACTCCCTCCACTCCCTTAGCTCTTGCTCCAATGTGGTGACGTATGTCTTCACCGCTACCCCATGAGTTAGTCGGTTTCTCATACCCTCTCAGAGTGGGGCAGCCCAACCCCATAAAACTGCAAGATCTTTTAAAAAAGAACTTTCTGACCACCACTTCATCTTTTTAATTACCCCTGCCTAAATTATCAGTGGTAAATACATAGAAAATGGTGAAATTCACAGGACTATGGAGGTAGAGAGGTTAATTCTGCAGAAAGAGGCAGTCTCTGAAAATCCAAGTATCAGTTTTGAGCAAATCTAGACAACAAGTCTAGGCATTGAACCTCATGAGCTTTTGAAAAAATAATTCAGCAAGTTATAACTTACCTTCTCAATCACTTTATTCCCCCCAAAACGAGTAACAAATTCTGCTGGAGAAGCTACAGTGAAATCTCGCTGAGAGTCTATTTTCTTTCGGTCTCGACCTTGCTTTACTAGATGCAAGCCAGACATGCTGGACCTGTAAAAATAGAGAAAGCATGAAAGTCTATAGATAGGATTTTTTTCACACTGTCTATCTCCCCTGGAGATCTGGTTTTCACGACCATACTTACAACAGCACTTCCAACTGCACCCTTGTGAAGACTGCACGCTGACAGATCACATACTTTTTGAATAGAGGAGGAAAAGAGAAAAAAAAGTCTTTGCTTGTGGAAATTTAAGAAAAAAATTAAGTGTTCTTGAATAAGATAATATTAAGGCTTACGAAAAGATGCCATCACAAAGAGATAGGTAAAAGACAGGATGAAATGAGATGACAGAGATAATAGAGACTGGGAAAGCTAAATAAACAGCAAGGCTGTTGTTGGATCATGATTCTGGCACACAGATGACTTTCACCTTTGTATCTCCAGCCTCCATTTTTCTTATGAAACTAAACTTTTAACTGCCTACTAAGCATTTTATTTCTGTATTCCATATGCTTTTCAAAATCAGTAACTCCAAAACCAGATACTTTACAAGGCAGCATAATAGATCGTATTTCATTGATTAGAAGACACTCCTCCTTAAAAAAAATTTAAAAAAAAAAACTTTAAAAAAATATCTGAAATTGGGAGTGCCTGGGTAGCTCAGTCGGTTAAGCCTCTGCCTTCGGCTCAGGTTATGATCCCAGGGTCCTGAGATCGAGCCTTGTGTTGGGCTGCCTGCTCAGCAGGGAGTCTGCTTCTCCCTCTCCCTTTGCCCCTCCTCCCCCACTTGTGCTCATGCTCTCTCAAATAAATAAAATCTTAAAAAAATATATCTGAAATCGATATGTATCTTACAACTGATGGTACGCTTTAACTGGCAGAATTTTTTTTTCCCTCAGTGGTACATACAATAATGGTGCCTCTAACAATCAATTGTGTTAAGGATAGATGAAATACGTAGCAGAAACAGCATAGGTTTGAGTTTAATCCAGATCTGCCCACTTAATAGCTCCAATGATCTTAGCAAATAATTTAACCTTGCTCAGCTTCAGTTTTCTCTTTGCAAAATACACATAATATACAGTGTTCTGGTTATTTACCTACTGTCTCTCGGCTCCGACCCCATCCTTTTACACTCTGCTCTGTGATGACAGAGCTAAGACTGCAAAACTGTTCAGTTCTGCCAATGGGAAGGCGGGACAGTAAGAATAGGGATTTCATTCTTGTTTTCCAGCTTTTAGCATCATTGCTCCACAGTAACAGAGTTAATTCTGGCCTCTAGAATCTTTCAACGTTCCTGGTGAGGGCCTCATTGCATCCCTTAGAGGTACCAGGAGCAGCAGATGATGGCTCCTTGGCAGAGTCCCAGCCTTTCCATGCTCACGCAGCCTCTGGGCTGTGCTGCCTGGGCCTATCGATCAAGGACCTGTCCGGCCAGGCTTCCATCTGCTCTAAGCACCAGCTACTCAAAGCTTCCTCTCAGAGGTGCAAGTGCTGGCCCCCAGGGGCCTTCCTTCAAGCTCCTGTGTTCTGGTAACCCTACCTCTTCCTTTTTGTTCTCCCAGCCTTAGGGGTGGTAGCTACTTCCTGCAAGTATTAATTTTTTTTTAAAGTTTTATTTATTTATTTGACAGAGAGAGCACAAGTAGGCAGAGCAGTAGACAGAGGGAGAGGGAGAAGCTGGCTTCCCGTGGAGCAGACAGCCTGATGCGGGGCTTGATCCCACGACCCTGGGATCATGACCTGGGCCGAAGGCAGATGCTTAACGACTGAGCCACCCAGGCGCCCCTGCAAGTATTAATTTGAGGCTACTTCAGAAAACACCCAAGTCACCAGTCCTCACTGTTGAATGCCCACTGTTTATAATACTTAAGGCAGTTTCTCTTTCCCTGACTGGACCTTGACTGACAGACCCTCTTTGAAAAGGTGTTTTGGGGGTTCAATGAGATAACAGCTATAACTAAGCACTTGTATACACTGTTCAGTGGACAGCTGTTTTCTTATTCCCACCTTTTCTTCCTTTCTCCTGCACTCTGACCTTGATGCTGCAGTAATTTCTTTTCAAACTATGGGAAGCCTGAGTGGCTCAGTCGGTTAAGCGTCTGCCTTCGGCTCAGGTCATGATCCTGGGGTCCTGGGATCGAGTCCCGCATTGGGCTCCTTGCTCAGTGGGGAGCCTGCTTCTCTCTTTGCCTCCTGCTCCCCCTGCTTGTGCTCACTCTCTCTCTCTGACAAATAAAATTTAAAAATCTTTTTAGGGGCGCCTGGGTGGCTCAGTCATTAAGCGTCTGCCTTCGGCTCAGGTCATGATCCCAGGGTCCTGGGATCGAGCCCCACATGGGGCTCCCTGCTCAGCAGGAAGCTTGCTTCTTCCTCCCCCACTCCCCTTGTGTTCCGGCTCTCACTCTCTCTCTCTCTGTCAAATAAATAAAATCTTTTAAAAAAATCTTTTAAAAAAAATTATTTTCAAAATAAAAGGGTATGATTAAAATCTTCCCACACACAAAAAAAACCCAGATCCAGATGGTTTTAAAAGACAAGTTTTTTCAAACTTTTAAGGGCAGTAGTCTACCAAACTTCCAGACAATAAGAAGTGAAACTCCTCAGGCGCCTGGGTGGCTCAGTTGGTTAAGCGACTGCCTTCGGCCCAGGTCATGATCCTGGAGTCCTGGGATCGAGTCCCACATCGGGCTCCCTGCTCAGCGGGGGGTCTGCTTCTCCCTCTGACCCTCTTCCCTCTCGTGCTCTCTGTCTCTCATTCTCTCTCTCAAATAAATAAATAAAATCTTAAAAAAAAAAAAAAAAAGAAGAAAAACTCCTCAGCTAGAGTAACACTGATACCAAAACCAGACAAGTATGTCACATAACAGGGAAAGTCCAGGTGCGTTTTTTTCGTGACTACAAATGCAAAATTCCTAAATGTAATATTCTAAATAGTAGGGTACTGGTGCAAGGATGGGTAAAATATTAGTAAAAAAACATTACTCCACGACCAAGTTGAGTTTGTCCCAGGTATGCAAGTATTGTTTAATTTTAGAAAATCCATAAATGGGGGCACCTGGGTGGCTCAGTCAGTTAAGCATCTGCCTTCAGCTCAGGTAATGATCCCAGGGTCCTGGGATCAAGCCCCACATCAGGCTCCCTGCTCGGCGGGGAGCTTGTTTCTTCCTCTCCCCTTACCCCCCTCCCTCCCGCTCATGCTCTCTCTCTCAAATAAATAAATAAAAATCTTTTTAAAAAGTACATAAAGGGGCATCTGGGTGGCTTAACTGGCCTTCGTTCGGCTTGGGTCATGATCTCAGGGTCCTGGGATCGAGCCCTGCATCGGGCTCCCTGCTCAGTGGGGAGCCTGCTTCTCCCTCTCCCTCTGCCTGCAGTCCCCCTGCTTGTGCTCTCTCAATCTCTCTCTGTGTCAAATAATAAATAAAATCTTTCAAAATAATAATAAATACAAATTTTAAAAAATTTAGAAATCCATAAATGTAACACTGTGTGTTAGATTTCCCAGCAAGTGCAATAAAATGAAAAAAATAATAAATTAGAGGCATTAGGATTGCAAACAAGGTAGTTAAATTGTCATTATTTGTGAGTGATATAATCGTTTACAGAGAAAACACAAAAGATTCTGCAAATTATTAGAAATAGGAGACTTTAGTCAAGTATCCAGATTAATATACAAGAACTCCAAAAATATTATATAAAGACTACAGATTATAAATTTAAAACATATCATAAAGTTAAAACAACTAAAATTATACACATTTTTGGAAGATACATAGAGTTACAGTAAAACTACATAAACAGGAAGATAAAAGAATATGATGAACATGTGATTAAGGAAAATGATTATCTGGGTGGAAGAATGCAGGGAGAAGCGCTGAGGAGTAGAGACCATATGGTTGGATGAGGTGATGGCCAGGGATCAACCTTTGTTTTAGGTGATGGGTTTTCAAATTCTTTTCACATTATTGTTTTAAAGACTGCAATAACTAACCAAATAAATAAATAATAGTAGGCCACAAATGGACCAATGAGTGTGCCAGGAAGGATTATGTTACATAATTCTATACACCTAAATTTAAACACACACACACACACACACACACACACTCCTCAGAGATCAGCTGTCAGTTATTTAAGGAAGGACCGAAGGGACAGGTAAGTTATAACTTAGAACCATTAAGGAGCTGGGGCACCTGGGTGGCTCAGTTGGTTAAGCAACTGACTCTTGATTTTAGCTCAGGTCATGATCTCAGGGTCATAAGATGGAGCCCCGTGTTGGGTTCTGCACTCAGTGGGGAATTTCCTTCAGATTCTCTCTCTCCCTCTGCTCATCCCCCACCCCCTCACTCCTGCTCTCTCTCTCAAATAAAAAATAGGGGCGCCTGAGTGGCTTAGTCAATTAAGTGTCCGACTCTTGATTTGGGCTCAGGTCCTGAGCTTAAGCCCTACATCAGGCTCTGTGCTCAGCAAGGAGTCAGCTTGAGATTCCCTCTCTCCCTCTGCCCACCCCTCTAAAATAAACAAACAAATCTTTAAAAAATAAAATAGAAAGTAAATCTTAAAAAAAAGAAAAGAATCAGTAAGGAGCTACCTGAGTTTAAGACAAGAAAGAAAGCAAAGCATTGATGAAATTAAAGTGGAGAAGGGATTGGTCATAAGATTTAATCAATAGTTTAGAGTGCTCTGAGGATCATTTATCATCAAAGCAGGGAGAAAAACAAAAACCTGTCTTACTGGGGCGCCTGGGTAGCTCAGTTGTTAAGTGTCTGCCTTTGGCTCAGGTCATGACCTCACGGTCCTGGGATAGCCTCACATCGGGCTCCCTGCTCATCAGGGAGCTTGCTTCTCCCTCTGCCTCTGCCGCCCCGCCTTCCCCCCGCTCATGTCATCTCCCTCTTTCTCTCAAATAAATAAATAAAATCTTTAAAAAAATTATTTATTTGGGGCACCTGGGTGGCTCAGTCATTGAGCATCTGCCTTTGGCTCGGGTCATGATCCCGGGGTCCTGCAATCGAAGCCTGCGTCGGGCTCCCTGCTCGGCTGGGAG